GGTGGGATAGGCCAGCAGGGCGGGGGGGGGGCTCTTTTCGGTGACGCGCCTATCCTGGGACTATACCAGGATATCTGAAGACTGACAGATTCCCCAAGTTAATAAAAACAAAACCGACAAGCCTGGTGGAAACTAGAGAAAATGAAAATCAGTGTAAGCTGTAACCACTAATGACCATCCAGAAAGCCTCTACAGCACTGTTAGCACGTGTAGTTAGTACTCATGAAGCAGCCAAGGAACAGGGAAGGTTTGCAGCTGTGAAAATTTAAGTAGCTTCTGTGCCTGCTCCTTCACTGGACTGAGCCGAGACAAGGCACGGTCATAGGGTACAGCGGTATGGCAGACCGGCAGACCGGCCGACTGACCGACTGCATAAAAGGCTGACTTGAGGGGCCGGCAGGTGGCGTGGTGGCTCTGGACTCCCACATGGCCTCCTGCAGTTCAATTCCAGACCTGGCGGTTTTCTCACGTTCCCTGTTTTCTCTCTTTGGTCAAATTAAAAGAAATAAAATTTAAAAAACTACAAAAATGTGATTTTTAATTCCTTTAAAATAATTAAAAATAATTCTTAAAAAAAGGGAAAAAGCTAACTCGAAATCTCTATCTCCATGATCAATTCTCTGCAAGGAAGTGGGCAGCATTTGATAAAGAAAACAGATACATAAAACTGAAATTACCATGGCAATTAAAATTAAATAGATCAGATAAAAAGGAAATAAAACAGATCAGATAGAAGATATTTCTACCAAGAAAGAAGAAAAATATTGAAGAAGCTTATTTTTTTAAGACTAAGATAGTATTTCTTAAAATAATAACGGTTCATTTTCAGAGTGAATTGCTTTTGTTTTTTAATTACATTTTTAAAAAACTACAAAAATGTGACTCTTTTAATCCCTTTAAAGTTTATGACATCCTTTTTCTCCCCCCTTTTTTAAGGCTTTAACCACAGGATGAGTGCATTCACTAGAGAGAAACAGTGAGATGGAAAGTGAGAAACCACCTGGGGAGGGGAGGTTGTAGGGAGGGAAAGGCCACGCCACAATCCCTTTTGCTCAGGTGTCCTTCTGGGATTTTGGAAACACACACACATTCCTGGAGCGATTTTCAAGCCACCAGGTCTGGGACTCAACTGTAGTCAGCTGCGTGGGAATCCAGGCCTTGACCACCACGCCACCTACTGGCCTGTGTCATTCGTTTTTAAAATGATTACTTAATTTCACTTTATTTATTTATTTATCCATTTTAATTTGATCAGAGAGGGACAGAGAGACAAAGAGAGAGAAAGTGAGAAGGCAAGCTGCCAGGTCCAGGACTTGAACTGTGGTAGGCCATGTGGGAGCCCAGCGCCCTTAACCACCACACCACCTGCTGCCCCCCTCCCCATTCATTTTTAAATGACAGGGAAATGCATTTCCATACTTAAGATCTTCAGAATACTTGAATTTTTCTCCCTGACAGGAGCCTGAGGATGGTTCCTGAGCAAAGAAAATGGTTCGCAGTGGTTTGTGCAGTAGAGGAAAAAATGGTAAAACAATTTTTAAATCCAACAGAGTACCCCCCAAAGTATGTACTGCAAAGTTGCCCCAACGGCGAGCATGCTTACCTCTCTGGTGGGCACAAGAATCAGGGCATAGGGGCCGTCACTGCGCTGTTAAACACAGGAAAGAGAGGCCATGAGGAGGAGGAGGACGGTCAGAGGCTGCAGACAGACAGGGCTTACAGACGGCGGTCTGTACACCACAGGCATTCATTCTCACTGGAGAAAGGGCCCAGAAGGCTCACGAACCTCACTAGTATGGAACACTGTCCAGAGATCTTGCCCATGAAATCAGACAAGAAGAGACACAATTATGAAACTGGAAGGAAGGCAAAATTATCAACAGATGATATTTTACTCGAGAAGAAAGCCTTAAGAGAATCAACCTCTTGAAAATCGATTACAAACAAAGCTAAATCTATTAAGTTTGTTGACTAAAACTAACATATAAAAATCAATAGGTTTTTGGGACCAGAAGATGGTGGAATGGTTGTCGCTGGACTTCCATGTAGTAAACTGTAGTTTGAGTCCCCTGGACCTGGTGGCTGGGTGCATGGGCACGTGTGCACAAAATCTGGAAAGAAGGGACTGCAGTATGGCCATCACCCCTAGGGGTGATTTCTTGCATTCTCTCTGGCAAGTACATGCGCCCTATAGCAAAAATCTCTCTTTAAAAAAAAAAAAAAGTTTCCAATATAGAAATTAGAAAATACAATAAAAAATTCACAATACCAAAAAAAAAAAAAGAGAGAGAGAAAGAGAAAGAGGAAAAAAATACTAAAAGATACTAAGAACAAGCTAACCAAAAACTGTACAAAATCTGCATGAAGAATATCTTAAAATACCTCCAAAGGTCATAAAACAAAATTTGAATAAATGTACCTTGACCCTGTCGTGGTGATGCAGGCAGGTGAATGTAGCTGCATGGTGGCTGAGGTACATGGGAGGCCTGGGCTTAGCTCCCAGGCCAACCCAAACAGGCAGAGGCATAAGCCCATGCTCCGAGCTAATCAGGATGCTGGGGCAGACAGCTCACATGATTAGACTCTGCAAAAACCCTCCCACAGCCCCCTTCCGGTGTTCTCTCTGATAGATACATGGACGTATAGACATAGACTGTACCTACCTACATACAGAAATGCACCCTAGTCCCAGTTCAGACTAAATGCTATATACAGAGGTGCACCCTAGTCCCAGCTCAGACTAGATGCTATATACAGAGGTGCACCCTAGCCCCAGCTCAGACTAGGTGCTATATACAGAGGTACACCCTAGTCCCAGCTCAGTCTAGATGCTATATACAGAGGTGCACCCGAGTCCTAGCTCAGACTAGATGCTATATACAGAGGTGCACCCTAGTCCCAGCTCAGACTAGATGCTATACACAGAGGTGCACCCTAGTCCCAGCTCAGACTAGATGCTATATATAGAGATGCACCCTAGTCCTAGCTCAGACTAGATGATACCAATAACCTAACTCTCCCTAAGTTAATCCACAATGTAAAGCAATTCTAACAAACCACCACAAACATGTACATATACATAACAGTAATACATATAACCAAAGTTCATATGGAAAGATAAATATGCAAAACTACACAAAGCAGTTAGGAGAGACGTATCAGAAATTAAGACAATTTAAAGCTATAGCAATTGAGGGACCAGCAGTTGGCATAATGTCCATGTCACTGCACTCCCATGTAGTGGACTGCGGTTTGAGTCCCGGAGCCATTGGCTTAAACTCATGCCAGGCATGTGTGCATGTGTGCCCAAGATCCAGAGAGGAGAATGGAGAAGGGACTGCAGTGTGGACATCCCCCCTGGGGTGTGATTTCTCACTTTCTGTCTCTCTGTCTTTCTGGCGATTGTACGCACCCTATAGCAAAAAAAAAAAAAAAAAAAAAAAAAGCTATAGCAATTAAAAAGTGATACTGTCATATACATAGAGATTACAACAGCAGAATCTAGAATATAATCAAATACACAGGCTATTTAGGAAATAATAAAAGGACTTTTTTTTTAATCAGCAGAAAAAATGGGTGATTCAAGAGTCTTTTGAAAAAAAATAAAGGTAGAATTACAGATGACACAAAACCCAGAAACCATAAAAGAAAATACTGATAAATATTATTTAAAAATTAAAAATTTCTAAGGACCAGCAGGTAGGATGGTGGTTAAAATGCTGGACTCCCACGTGGCTGACTGCAGTTCAAGTCCTGGACTGGGCAGCTTGCTTTCTCACTTTCCCTCTCTTTCTCTCTCTCACAATGGTCTAAATAAATATAGTAAATAATTCTAAAAAATAAAATTTAAAATTTCAGAGTGAATAAACAATACCTAAACAAAAATCAAGAGTCAAATGATAGGCTATGGGAAAAATAATGTCACGTCTAGAAGAAACAACTAGTTTCCTTACTATAGAAATTAGGGGCCAGTCAGTGGTATGTAAGTCAAGGCAGATGAATCCCACGTGGCTGACTGAGCAGTTTGAGTCTGGACTTACAGTCTTGAAAAACATGCTGGGCGTGTGTGCCTAAAATCCCGAGAGGAGAATACAGAAGGGAATGCACTGTGGCCATACCCCCTTTCTCTGGTAAGCGCACACACCCCACAGCAAAACTAAAAAAGAAAAAATTTAAAAACAGGCACCCAGCAGGTGATGTAGTAATTAAGGCAATGTATTCTCGCCTGGCCAATCATGGTTTGCGTCCCAGACCTGGCAGCTTGAAAATCACGCTGGGTGCATGTGCATGCCTGCCCAAAATCTGAGAGGAGACTGGAGAAGAGGTTGTGGCA